ATATCCATTTTCTTTCAAGCGCCGATTCTTTGAGTTCATTCAGTTGAACCCGATTTTTAAAATGACTCGGAGCTCCATCGGATATAATCGTCATACTGCGCAAATTTATATCACGAAACCTTTTCTGCAAATCATCTACAATTTTGTCTACCGCTAACAACGCATGTGCTGAATCATGCGATGTGTCGTCGGTTACGACTGAAAGTTATGTCAGTTTTTTGGCCAACGTAACAAACTGCTGTGAAAATGGATACTTGTTTGGATTTCCAATGATAAGACTGAACCTCGTTTCTTACAATGACCGACCAATTCTCTGCAAAATCCATGTGCAGTAGTAAATGATTCGAATTCTGTTTTGAGATTTCTTTTTCTTCTCTTATGCCAGCTTGTTGAGATTTATTACACTGTAAATGGGTATTAACTTTGAGTGTCCACTCAGCTACTGTTCGAACAAATGATTCTATTGAAGTGGTTTTTTTGATCAAATCATTCCCTTCCCAAAAATCATAAGTAATTTCTTCTTGCATTTCTTTTGAGAGGAATTCTGTCAATTTCAGAATTACACCATCGGCTCCGAGGCATTTTTTGCATTCTTTAAAGATGCATGGATCGCTTTCCATCGAATAAACTGCGGCTGATAGTATGGTTTCGCGCACATTCGGAAGAACGGCACTATATCTATTTAAACAGTTGCTTAAACCAACTAAAAGTAAGTCGAAATTGGTGCAAAAGTTCTTCGCGCGAGAGACAAAAAAAAATTGCGAAATTCAAAAAGTGAATGTGCAGTAAATAATAACCTGCTAAAAATATATCTATTTACTTCAACAATTAATGAAAGGATATATGTATTTCGAACATTGTGAATATCGCATTATTAGTGCACCGTGAACTTTTGGCAACATGTCATAATAACGAATTAGAATCAAAAACTTACGATAAATGCTTCTACACAGAGTACAGCAACAGCGACGAAATCCCGCCGAAAGATCCGGATTCAACTCTGAATAGATTGCTTCGGTGATCTTCAAAACATTTGACGAACTTGACACAATCTTCGAAGATATTTTTGGGGATTTTGCTGACTATTGCTTAAATCGATCTTATACTCGAAACGAGGCGTTTTCGTCGACGTGTATAGATTTTCTGACGATTCGATTATAAAAAGCGGGAAAATGTGATTTGGTATTTCGAAACTGTATGGTGGAAAGTGTGTTCTAATATCTATTTGATACACAAAAAATGATCACGGCTGTACTTTTTGCTGATATATTACATACATATGTTCCATTTAGTTAAACAATATAAGAATATTGTAGTATGTACCACAAAAACGTATATTTTCTATAAAAAATCATAACTCAGAAAAAAAAATCTTCGCTATTAGAGATTTGGGTTGATTGTAGTTCAAAGTGTCTCTTTCCCGGTAAAAAAGTTTGAGAGAAAAAAAAATACACTTTGTGATAAATTAAATTTATAAAAAAATTTGCACTTTTTGTTTATTGTTAAATAAAAAATTTTAAATAATGAAAATCAATAATTATATCATTCTATCTTGAAGTGACAAGAATTACTGACATTTGAGTAATAACATTGTTGGAATCTATTAAATTTTGACAAAGTTATGGGCATTTTAAAAAAACATTCTCACTGTCAATTCGAATAATCGATTTTTGCCTGAAAAACAAAATCGCGTTTAATTCGGCCGAAAAAATTTTCCGAGCCAAAAGAAAAAATACGTGTCTCATTATTTGGACCAACAAACAATGTATTTGAGTTTGGTCGAAATTAAAAATCATGCTTGTACCTGACCGGTTGTCTGGAAATGGAAAGCATCTAGTAAAAATATAATTTCAGATAAGCTCAATTAAATCTTTGAGTATTCAAAAAAGCATGACACCATATGGCATCAAAATAGCACGGCACAGTTAAAAGTTTCAATTGGATTAGAGAATGGGTTTACATGTGTGTGTCCATGTAACACGGCTTGACTTAGAACGAATTGAAGCATCATATAAACGTGGTAATTGTTCACTTGTTTTTTAATAACAAAATGAACAATCTTTTGTTGTAAAATGTGTGTGCTTTTTGAAAAAGTTTTTCAAATAATATATTTTACTAGTGTTACTCATAAAAAAGAGCAACATTTCAAAAAAGATTTTTTTTTCCAGCGTTCCAGTAACAATGTTTTCCCCCTACCAATTTTCTTCCCAAATTCGACCAAAATCGTTTACAACCTACCAAATAAATTTCCATTACAAAAAAGCATTTTGAAAGCATACAATTCATTTATTTAAGATTAAAACTTTCTAATACAAAACATTTACATACATACAGGCCCGTCAAGAGGGAGGAGGGAAAGGGCCCGACCTTTTAAAGGGGCCCAAAATATCAGAACCACAACTTGTTATTATTTTTTTTAAATGTAATTGCTACTTCGTTATAGGCTTTTATTATAAATATATTCCGATTCAGGCTGATTGTTTCTGACTCTATAAATTAAAGAAAATGAGCATATGCTTTTAAATTAATACAACTTATGTATAGAGGCCCTTGATTTTTTAGTCCAGGCCCGTAAAAAATTTAAATCAATTAGTCACATGAAAATCTTTAGCAGTTGACCACACATAGTGCGGGTCATTTTTGTTTACAAGCTCCTTGCATAACATTATGCTATAGATATTCTCAATCTTATGTTTATTTCTTAGTTTAGTTTTTATCAAAGAAAGCGTTGAAAACTTGCATTCTGCAGACGCAGAGCTATGTGGTAATGAAATTATATTAAAAACAAAATTGGCGAGCTATTTCCATTCATTCATGTTTTTCCCAAAACATATCAATATCCAGATCGCTGGAAATATCAAGCTTACTTAGCCTCAGTAAATTCCACTGCGTGGTTATTATATCAGGATCGCAATCTATGAGATGGTGAAACTTAAAAAAAAGAGGTAAAATTGGTAAATCTTCTATAGAAACTACCTTAGCTGGTGTTATTATTTGTAAAAGTTTTATATCTTTACGCCTGAATGAAATCTTAAATTTATTTGGTCCAAAAATTCTATGTAAAACTTTAATATATTGGTTTTACCTTCAAGAACTTCAGAACAGTTGACATTACTTTTCATAAACACCTCAGCTTTCGTTCAAAAATTTTAAATATTTTAATACGATTATTTTTATAATCAATATTAATCTTGTTACTGTTCGCATCTTTTTTAATAAAGTTACTCAAAATTAAGATATAATGTGCTTTAATAGTTGCATATAAGTATGGCAAACGAGAGCTTTCAGCTTGGCATTCTTTGTAAAGATTGTTAATTATGGGCCAAATATACGATAGAAATAAAAAATAGCATTTGGTTTTGCAACACATTCCTTATGCCAGATCTGCAGATCGCATACCGTTTACTTTGTAAAAGCAGGAAATAAAATAAAGTTTCAAACTTTCTCATTGCTCAACTGTTCTTAACACAACGCTTTCTAGTCAAAGCTATCGTGTTTGAGATATGCCCATGATTTTGTGGGGTTTTACCGAACAGTAGTCCTGAAATTCCTTTCGTTCATATATCTTCTTTGGACTGTGGGAAAAGAAACTATATATATTGCGGCACAGTGTCTCAATGCTTTTCGGCAGTTTTTTCTAAGCATAGCTTGAGGAAAGGTGAAGTGAGTGGCATCGGTTTCTGCACTCAATAATGTTCGAAAGGTCGAAAAAAGAGATAAATAATACTAATAGTAGCTAAAATTAAGAGCTACATTTATTGACGTAAAGTTGTTTGTTTTACATTTTCCGAAATTTTACTAAACACATCGAATTTTATAAATTTAAGTGCTGAAAACTAATTTTAAACCCAAAATAATTTGCATATATTTCGAATTCGTTATAACACTCATATGTATGCATATCTATCCATCCATATATGTATATAAATGGGAATGACTGTCTGTTTATTACCTTATAACTTTTGAACCGCGACACGGAATCGCATGAAACTTTGCACACTTATTTGCTTTTACCCCGGGAAGGTTGTAGGCATAGAGAAATATGGACATTACTGGAAAAAAGGGCGTGGCATACTGACTAAAATTATCATGTTGTATATCTCTTGAAATATTTCTGTAGTATACCGGAACTTGGTGTCGATATAAACGACATTAATTCCATACTCATGAGAAAAAATTAGCGGTATAGGAAAATGGGGCGTGGCACCTCCCATAGGCGTGAAATATTTAATCAGTTATAACTTCGGAACCGTAAGTCACGTGAACTTGAAATTTGGTATGCAAACATATCTATGGTAGGTGCTTACGGTAAGGTATATATACATGAGTTTGTAAAGGGGGCGTGGCACATCCCAAAAGCGTGGAATTTTTTATCAGATACAATTTTGGAACCATAATGGTAGATGCTTATAATAAGGTATATGTAAATGAGTTTGTAAAAGGGGGCGGAGCACATACATAACATAGACGTGGAATTTTTTATTAGCCATAACTTCGGAGCCACAAGTCACATGACCCCTGTAATTCTTTTTGATATGCCTTTCGAATTTAAAAAACCTTCAGTTACCAGTTCGCTTAGCTTTTGCAATGACAATAAACAAGAATTCCTTAAAATAAAACCAAAACTTTATCGAAAAAAGTATAGGATAATTGCATTGGAAATTGCATTTAGGTTAATAGGTGCTTTGAAGTATTAACACATGTTGTGAAATAATATTAGTTATTATTCCGCAGAAATTAGGTAGCTAAAATTTAAATATTACAACATTGGTATTTCTGCTATTATATAATTTATTGGAGATCTTTTAATGCAAAAAAAAAACACCTGCTGTGCCAAAAAGTTAGTATTGCATTTCATTCGATAACACCCAAGCTATACAACTGTCCTACCGTATTCTGCTATCACGGCTGTATTAAAATTAGAGCAGAAATAAAATATACCATCTTTACATAAATTATTTTTCATAAGACGTGGGGTGAACACCGTGAGTAAAAGCTAGTACTTATATAAACTAGACAATGAACTAAAAATACTTTACAAACTGTTAAAATCTGAAATTTAAGATATTAGAATTTACAATAAAAACTCGGGTTACGAATCATTTTTTTTGCCAAATTTTTCTGAAAAGTTTTATTTCCTTCTCTCCTTAAGGTAAATTTAGTAAAGTAAAAACCAAATCCGCGTGTTCAGAAAACGGATTTTCTTCTAATTTTAGTTTTTGAATTCTTTAACCTAGATCCAAGAGTTTATGGTGGAGTCTGTATTTTTTCGTGGATACAAATGTATGTTTTTGCACTGCATTTCGAAATTTGTAGTTTTATCAACGCTTAAGTTTTGGCTATCCTCTTCTACCGTTGCCGCCTGAGAGAGAATACACCGTCTGAGCTAATCGAAGCTCGAATTACTGCCCGGCAGAGTGTCCAGAAATTGTGGAAAAAGCTGATCCCGCCTTATTATAGGTTTTTATTTTATTTTTAGCGCCGAGCTCTTAATAGCGGATTGTGCGATTAATCAATTAATATGAGTTATAATAAATTTCATAATTTCGCAGTCCTATTGAAAAATGTGTTGAAACAAATATTTTTAACAAGTATGCGTATTTTTAAAGAAAATTGTTTGTACATCACTATTATATAAGTGATTTGTGGTATATATTATTTCCCTCTGGAGGCATTATATTCGTTTTTGGTTTTGAAAACTATATCATAACAGGATCTCATTTTTAAAATTAAAGATTTGTTAAGTCGATTTCATGAATTAAAAAAAACTAGTAAGAAAGTCTAAGTTCGGGCGAAGCCGAACATTAAATACCCGGCGCAAGTATTAAATATATGTTTCTTCACCTTTCCGAAAGCTACCGCTAGATGGTAAGCCGGGGTGTATCAATTTTGAGTAAATTAGCGTCCTTCAATTTCGAAATATTGAAGTTTCAAGCATTTCTGAAATTTACCGTTATATGAAAAGCGGCCGTAATTTTAGTCCGATTCCAATAATTTTCAACGTTTTGCTTATATGTGGCAAGCCCAATAACCACACCGAGTTTGGTACAAACTGCTAGAACGGTTACCGATATACATATATGTGATCATAAGTGGGCGGTGCCNGACAGACGGACGGACAGACAGACATGGCTTAATCGATTTCTTTTTTCATCCTGATCATTTATGTATACATTTGTCTATATCTATCTCGATTCGTTTTGGCTGTTACAAACAACCGTTATGTGAACAAAATTAATATACCCTTGTGCACAAGTGCGCTCGGGTATAAAAATGGCGATGTTTTCTTCAGAAATTGCGCTTTTTTAAACAATCTGGACACCCTGCTATCCAGTATAGTTCCTTGGTTTCCATTTTGGTCCAAATGGGCCAAGTTTGGTGAATTTCTTTTCGTTTGGTCCATTGGTCCAATTCTTTTTAAAATGGTCCATTTCACAAGCCTTTGATTCATGCAATAATTTCGCGTTTTCAATTTTTTCAATTTAATTGATCAAAATTTCCTGTATATTTAATTGCATGTGCCGAGTATTTTGTTTCATATAATATATTGTTGTTGTACAATTGTTTTTGTTTGTGCACATTGATTTTGCTCTTTGTAATTTCTGCTGTTTCATCTTTGTCACAGCTGTTTGCGTTGTGTTTATTAAGTGTCAAATATACAGTGTATTTAAAACTGTTCGCTACATAGCTTTCAACCCAATATTTACAAGCTCATTGGTTCTCCGATTGATACATCGTTTTCAAAACTGTTTTGCTTTTTTGCTTCTAAAACCTATAAATAAATATAATTTTAAACATGTCGAGTATTTACACCAATTGCCACGTTAAAAGCGACTCCTATGTGTCATGCTGGCTCTGCGATGGGATTGCCCATATAAAATGTGCTGGTTTGAGCGGTAGGGTGTTAGACGCTATTAATGAGGGAAAGAGTCTTCGTTGGTCGTGTCAAAAATGTAGATCAACCGAAGTTAATTTATTCAAATTCTCTAGGCAGTCCAGAAATGGTTTTTCTGAGTTCGAGCAGGATCTGTCGGTTCTTGTTGAGAAATTTAAGCATTACGAAAAAATGTTTAAGTCTTTCACATGTCTCGACAACCCTCCGCACTCTGAGGATAGCCGAGACAATAAAAGTAGGCATAATATTAGTCCACTTAAAAAGATAGTCACTGAATCTAGTCAGAAAAATCTTTCATCCCAGTCCTTGGGACCTCTTAATCTTTCTTCTCCACGCCCTCAGGCATTGGAGTCTCCGCTATCTAAAGCCACATGAACTAGGTCTACATCTAAAAATAATAACGTCAATCAAACTGTTGATTTAACAGTATTGCCATCAACATCTGAAGCTGCACTGTCTAACTTAGTTCTTCCGAATAATTCTGAACCCCGCATATCAAATATCATTACCAAAAAGTTGGTTGTAATTCCTCCGAGAAGATCAATCTTTGTCTCTAGATTTGCTAAAGATACTTCTTCGGATGATATAAAGTCATACATATCGACTAAAATTAGAACTAAAGATGTATTTATTCGTAAATTTAATTTTAAATGCGATCGCGATTTCACTACTAAATAGTTCATTTTGGCCAACTGGGGCGTTTGTTCGCGAGTTTGAGTATAAACCTAATAAAAGTAATAACAACGTAGCTAAAATTTCTAATCTTAATTCGGATTCAAAAAACTAACTCGCAAGTCTAATTAAAGTATTTACTATCAAAACGTTAGAGGTTTGAATACCAAATTAACTGACTTATATTTAAAAGGTTTTGACTGCAATTATAATATTATTTCCTTGACCGA